AAAAGATCCCACTCTACGCAGAGTTATACAAGCCATCAAGGAAGGCTGGAAATCAATTAAGAACTCTGACTCAATAGCACACTTCAAAAAACTCTCAGAAGAACTCAGCGTCATCGATAATATGGTACTCTATGGAGACAGAGTCGTCATTCCGGAGAAGCTCAAACCGACGATCTTATCTGCTCTCCACAAGGGTCACCCAGGCATCAGAAGGACAAAACAATTGGCTCGCGAGTTCGTATACTGGCCAAGGATGTCTAAAGACATTGAACACCTCGTACAACGATGTGACTCCTGCGCCTCGACCCAGAAACTTCCAGTAAAAGTACCACTGGATCCATGGCCTACTCCATCATGCCCACTAGAACGTGTACACTTGGACTACGCCGGCCCGATCGATGGACAGTACCTCCTTATATTCGTATACGCGTTCTCGAAATACGTAGACGTCGCAATCACGTCCACAATCACCGCACTGTTGATCTGTGCCGAGATTTTTTTTCCAGATATGGACCTCCAAAGATTTTAGTAACAGATCACGGAACTCAGTTCACCTCGGACGCCTTTACAACCTTTTGTAAAGAAATGCAAACATTACATCTCCTGTCCGCAGTCAACCACCCACAATCCAACGGCCAAGCGGAAAGAATGGTGGACACCGTAAAACGGGCCATTGCTAAAAATCCAAATAACTGGAAGAAACAACTGCTTGACTATCTCTACAGCTATCGCTACACTCCCTGCAGCTCGGCCCCGGGAGGGAAATCCCCAGCAGAACTCCTGTTTGGACGTCGCATGAACTCCCCGTTCACAAAATGGCTCCCAACGCCGGATGATACCAAGCATACGGAAACGAGTCCACAAGCGACGAAACAACAAACCATGGTAAAACAATTCTCGAAACACCATGGCGCCAAGCCACGATATCTATCAGTGGGAGATCGAGTAATGGTCCTAACCCGCAAGGACAAGCGCGAAAAGGGCGTCATACACAAGGTCCTATCAAAAACTCGTTACTCGGTACGCCTCGATGATGGGAAAATCATCGACCGGCATATTAACCATATCTGGAGAGGAGGTTCCACTCCATCAACTCCATCTCAAGATCCGGGAGATGACTGGATATTTCTACAACCTCCTGCTCCACCGACCACCCTGCAAGAACCTCAACCTACCTCCTCGGAGCCTGATCCACAACTCCTATCATCCCCCACTGCTCAAACGCCAGCCAACCGGAACCTGGAATCACCGGCAGCCCGAACGACCCCGGTCAGACCGACCCGTAACCGTATGGCCCCGAAGAGGCTGATATTAGACCCGGCCGCCAAAAGCTACTCCCAAGGGTAACTTCCTGAGAGGGAAGATGTTGGGCACCGTCACCCGACGCCGCCGCCACTGCCAGCGACAGCGACATACAGAGAGAGGGGGAGCGTCCAATCAGTTAGTTCTTACCGGTCTTGCACAGAGCTCACATCGGTGTATCCGAATAAAGACCGCTTACGTGAACATTACGAGGCTCGCAATCTGTTATCGTCCTAGGCCTTACGTCCTTTCCTTCCTCGTTCGAGACACCATCCCGAACGTCCACATCGGGACCCAACAGTCAGCTGCATATTTAAATTAAATCATATAATCATTAATTAAATATTAAATTATTTAAAAATATAATTATTAAATAAAATACTATATAAATAGGAATAAAGAAGAATATTGAATACAAAATATTTACCGTGCTGACTGATTTTCCATATAAGAAATAATAATTTCACATAGATTACATCTTAATCTTTCACATAATCCATTTTTAGTGGTATAGTACGTTAGAATTTGTTGCCCTGTTTTACTTTGATTAAGTAGCTCTGTTATTGGTATCATTAATTCTTTATCAAATGTGAGTTTTGGAAAAGATATATTTTCTTTACTTTTAGCTTTTGGATTTTGTTCACTATAACTAGGTTTTAGAATAGTATTTGAAATAGTTCCAACATCATTTTCAAGTTTCTGCATAAAATTGAAAATTTTAATATGATAATAATAAAAATATTAAATGCAATATTATTTAAAATATATTTACTCTTTTTTTATTTATAGTGGAGTTATCGTCAATGTTATTAATCAATGGTATTTCATCTAAACTGTTATTTTTGTAATACTCTTTCCAAAAGCTTAAAAATTTGGCTCTTTTACCAATGACAGGAATCAATTCTTGAATCATTTCTTCATTTAAACTTAGTAATATCTCTTTCGTTATTTGATTTTCTAAAAATATAAATATTATTTTCATTAAAATGCTAATATACATATGTATGTATAATATAAACCCATTTAATATTATCTTACGTTTACACATTTCTTTCCTATGGCTTTTAAAGGGAATGCCAGCTAACAACATAATTTGAGTCTTAAG